AGAGAGAGAGAGAGAGAGAGAGAGAAGAGAGAGAGAGAGAGAGAGAGAGGAGAGAAGAGAGAGAGAGAGAGAGAGAGAGAGAGAGAGAGAAAGCAAGCTAAAAAAAATACATAAATATGAGAGGAAAAGAAAAAATATATGAACAGGAGTAAAGAAAGAGAGATAAAGAAAAATTAATAATAAAAAAAAAGAAGACAAAGAGAAAGTGAAATGGAATGGTCTTTGGTACTCCTTCAACCAACTTTGTTTAGGGCGCCTAAAATCTGCAACTAACCTCTCCTGAAGGTAATCTGGGTCGGCATCACTGAACATTTCACACAGTGTTGCTACATGGGCCATAATCTTTTCCTCTACTTCCACACCACTGGCCTCATCACTGCCTTCCCCAGCGGCCTGGCTTTCACTCGAACTGGCTGCTGGGGAGCTATCATTGGAGCTTCCCTGTTCAAATGGCTGGAAAGCACTAGTACTTGCTCGTTCCACAGGTTGGAAAGCACTGGTTTCTGGTCGGTCTGGGGAGACAAGGGAGGGAGGATACCCTTGTGGGATGTCTGGAGGATTAGGGGGAGGACCCTCTTCCATTAGTCTTACTATCAATCTCTCCACATCAGTATCACTATGACACATCTGTATCTGCACTCTCAAAGAACCTTTTTCAACACCAGGAATCACTTCAGCAATGAAGTTCACTTTTTCTTCACACCACTTCTGTCTTTCATCTTGAACGTCTTTCGGTTCACTAGTCCAATAATCATTTTCCTGTTTGTTTTCATCCAGTCTACTCGCAGCACTAGGAGTATCTACAGCAGTTCCGAAGAACTTAACATGTTCATCTTTAAATGTACTATCTGCTGCTACTTTTGGAACCACAGCACCACTGGTAGAGGGGAGAGAGTCACTCAACAACTGGTTTGTTTCACCCACTGGCTGCTGCCACTGCTTGATTTCACTGACACATTTTGCATCACCTTCCTCAACTTTGAGCCTCTTCACAACAGCATTTGAACCTGACCCGACAGTATCCCCATGAGGGCGTTTTTTTGCAGCACGCAGGCCATGAAACACCCTGTCTGGTACCATCTCCCCTTGATCAACTGCTAACTCTATATATAAACCTAAGACATATGCCCTGCGGTCTGGATGATAGTAATTATCAAACATACTTTGGTACACATCATTTAGTTGAAAATATGGAAGCAACGAACATACAAAGTGAGCATCTAACCAAAGCTCCTGTGAAGGATGATTATGATTAACTGTGTTTTCATTCAGCATATTTGTCAAGCCATTTATATTAGTTTTCTTGTTTCTGTTTTCATCAGTATAACTATTTGCTTTGGCTTCTGCTAATTCTTTTTCGATCTTAAAACTATTCATTCCATTTATTACTATATTTTCTATCTTTGTAGACTTATTTCCAATTACATCACTTTTACTTTCAGAAGAGCTTGAAGAATTTTGCAATTCATCAGCCATTACTTTTGAATCTTTACTATAACTCTCTTCATCAGAAGACATTTTATTGAAATTTCTGGACTGTTTTGTATCTTTTTCATTTTCATTTTCTGGCTCTTCTTTTACCTCTTGCTCACTTTCCTTTGCCTTGGCCAAGCCCAAAGTCTTCTCCAAATCATGAAGCATGGACAAAATTTTGCTTATATCTTCATTCTTCTTTGTGTCATCACATGTTCCCTCTTCAGTTCTAGCACTAGGCTTCATTGGTTTCTCCACTTCTTCTACTATAAGGATGTCACTATTCCTAGATGATGGACGGGAGGAGAAACTATCATCAAGTATATCAATGACAGGAGCTGGTTTAGGGGGCTCAGGTGTCAGCACACTGATCTCCGAAAAGTCATTCAATGTCATGGCGGTAGATGAACTCTGAGACTCTGCAGACTGTGGTGAATCCAGCGTTGTAGAGGAAGACTGACTTGATTCCCTTGCTGATGAACCATTCTGGATGTCTGAGTACACTGGGCTACGAGAAGTGCTTGCTCTCAATTCAGGTGAGAAGACAGTTGGTTCTATGTTCTCCTCATTGGCTCCAGGCAAGTCATTCTCCTGAACATCATAACTTTCTTGGTCCTTTACTTTTTCTTTCAAGGTAGCTTGAATATCCGGCATCAAAGCACTCACAATGGTCTTGGAGGCTACCTCAATTGACAAGCCATTTTTTATTTGTCTTTCTGCTTTTGTAAATAGCCTGTCATGGTTGATATGATTCTGAGCTTCTGGTCCCAGAGATCTGCATATTTTTCCAACAACCTCTTCCACTACTGCAAAGGCTTTTTCCAGAGGCTCCATGCCCAATGCCCTGCAAATGATAAAAAAAAACATAAATTTCTTGTTATACTATTACAACACATGCAGGCAATAATTAAACACTGTTGTTCATCTTAATATATATAAATAGTGTAATTCATATTGATTCATATCATAATTTAAATTATTCATTCCATACTGATAAACAATTCCTGAAAAAAGGAAAAATGGAATGATGCCCATGCACTCCTAAAAATAACAACAAAATATAAGCAATTCCTAAGCATGCTATCTCTAAGCATTAAACAATCTCACAAAACAAAAAACTGAAATATTAACTGAGGTGAAAGCACCTCCTATTGCACCTGCTGTGATATATTTACACTTAACTATTTTTGTTTGATGAAATGGAGAATCAAGTGGCAAGCCAGGTTTATCTCCCTTAAATATAAATAATGCTGGAAACCTTGATTCAGTGAAATAAAAAAATGTCAATATCCTGATTAAGTGCTTTATAAGAACACTCAGAATCTGTAATACCACACATAACAATCTTGGGGATCTTTAAAAAATAAACAGTAAATAAATAAATAAAAATATATAATAATAACAATAATAATTAGCTGTCTGCAAAAATGTGTATCAACTTTGAAATAAATCGTCTACAGGTTGACATTTTATAAAAACCTAACATTCACTCTTCTAAAATGTTACCCACTGATGCTGGGATGCATAAATATATACATATGCTCCAAATCTGTGCTCAAGGGCTGGGGTGTGTCTAGGCTTCGTCCACTTTAAGCCAGCATTATGAATGCACTATCATACGCGTCAGAAAAAATTCCTTTTGGCTTTTCTGATTACTTCATGTTATTAGAAGGGTACTTTCTAGATTTTAGTTGTAATAATAATTATCTTTCATATAACATTTAAAATCAAGAAACTATTTCTGGAGAAATTTAAACTTTTATCTAACAAAACCTCAATTACAGTTTAAATCAGCATAGTAGGCCTCTTCTCCTTACCCTTTCCTTGGGTTGGCAGAAAAAGAGTGTATATGATGGAGTGTACTGCAACTCTGAACCACATCAGATATACATGTGTGTGTGTGTGTGTGTGTGTGTGTGTACATGTACACACACACACACACACACACACAAACAAACACCCAAATACACACACACACACACACACACATATACACACACACACACACACACACTTATACACACACACACACACTTATACACACACACACACATATACACACACACACACACACACACATACACACACACACACACATGATAAACCTGCCGTAATAACTTCGTATAGCATACATTATACGAAGTTATACGAACACACACACACACACACATGTATATCTGATGTGGTTCAGAGTTGCAGTACACTCCATTATATACACTCTTTTTCTGCCAACCCAAGGAAAGGGTAAGGAGCGTAATAACTTCGTATAGCATACATTATACGAAGTTATACGATGTGTGTGTGTGTGTGTGTGTGTGTCTTGGGCAGTGTTATCATATGTGTGTGTGTGTGTGTGTGTGTGTCTTGAGCAGGTTTATCATGTGTGTGTGTGTGTGTATGTGTGTGTGTGTGTGTGTGTGTGTATGTAAGAGAGTGTGTGTGTGTGTGTGTGTGTGTCTTGAGCAGGTTTATCATGTGTGTGTGTGTGTGTAAGAGTGTGTGTGTGTGTGTGTGTGTGTCTTGGGCAGTGTTATCATATGTGTGTGTGTGTGTGTGTGTGTATGTGTGTGTGTGTGTGTGTGTGTGTCTTGAGCAGGTTTATCATGTGTGTGTGTGTGTGTGTGTGTGTGTGTGTCTTGGGCAGGTTTATCATGTTGCTACCCTCTACAAAAACAGTATTTCCTTCTCTCCTTTTTTCTGCCTATATAATCAAAGGGGGGAAATTTAAAACTCCTTGGGAATTTCACCATCAGTATAATGAATTTTGAGTGTTAGTCAACCACCATGGTAATTATCAATGAACTATACCATGTATAACTAAGAAATGATCTGTGGTCAAAAGTTATCACTTGACAAAAATATATGATAATGGTATTCTGCTATTTCTTTATATTCTTCTTACTCGTGTGCATTCATTTTGAATAGCTCCGTATCAACATATTTCTTTTAATAAATAAAGATTTTTATGTGAGGAAGGCTTGAAAATGCCACTAAAATTCTGTGGACTTTTGTTTCAACTGCAAAGGCCTTCATGAGGCCTTTTACATATTATCAAACTTTACATGCATTCATCAAAATGAATCAATGATTTAAATGTTAAATCTCCTTGACTTCTGTATTAAACTGTGTAGAAATGCTGTGAGTTCTGTTTCATCACTTAACAGTTTTAAAAGTATTGTGTGTGCACAATAATCAGTTTGATCTCATTACAGAAATGGTTTGAAATGTACTGAAAGGTGGTCAAACATCCTGGCCAGCAGGTGGTCATCAATCCAAGCCACCAGGATGCTATGATCCAGCTCCTCTAGATTTATTATTTTGCAGTAATATTAAGAGCATAAAGAATATTTCTGATTTACAAATTTAAAAGAATCATCACTGCTAGAGTGACTGTTAGGCATAATATGATCAAGGAAAGCTGAGTAACAAGTTGTCCACATTGAAGCATGCAAAGGTATTAATAAAATAAGATATCCTGTATCTTTTGGTGGAAAATAAAGATGTTACAATTTAATCCTTAAATCTCATACATAATACTGTACTCACTGTATATACATTATACACTACCAGATGATATAAAAGTAAGTCAAATAATGTTACATTGACAGTAATTACTGCAGTATATATAAAATGTAACAGAGATACAAATCTTATAAATCCATTTGCTTAGAATAAATTGGTGTTTCTGTATGCAGAACTACATTTACAGAATACTGCTAACCTTAGTTAAAATTTAATTCTTAAAATTCAAACAAAATTTATAAAAACTGTCAGCTGCTACATTATTAATGGCTGGAATACTGTCTGGACCTTCCACACTGATAGCTGTGTTTGTGTCCAGCTCAGGAGAACGTCAGTTTCCACTGGCACAGGATGGGAATGGTCAACCAGTGATGTGGAGAGTTATATTAATGATATGGTATGGTCTATTAGGCTTGCATTTATCTCATTGGTGACCTTAACCCACCCAACTGCTCTATCTTGATATATGTGATAGAGGTAGTTGATTACCGATGGAGCATTAAGTTCAAAGGATGCAGAGATCAAAAGACTTCGATATGTCCTTCACCATACTTATCTTAAATCATTTTGTTCTATTTTTTTATGACCAATAGATTACCCTATATCTAAGGTTTGAGTTGGAGTAAATACCTTTTTTCACTAAGCACATCACTATTGCATGAAACAAGGAAAAATTATGTTGTTTATGAAGTGACTGCATTTGTATGCCTATCACTTTTGTCAACAACCTTCAGAGCTGTATACATACATCAACATATAACCCAAAAATGTTAATAAACCTAGGGCTTCACCCAATTGTCATATTAATCTAGCAAGGGTTGCTCCCTTATACCCCACTCAATCACCATGGACAATAATCCCATCTGATATTTCTGACAAATTATTTTCTTAAATTGGAACTTTACTTTTTGCCTGTCCAGATTATTTCATTCATGAAAATGTAATCCCCCATCTTTTTGACATGTGTTCTAATTTTCCTAACTTAGTATGGTCATCACGTTATTTTTACTCAGAATCAATCTTACTATTAAGAGTAAAAAGAAGAGAAAGGTGGAAATAGAGCACTAACCTTGTAAGCATACAATGGAATTATAATACTTTATTCTACAATTTGGTATTCATAAAAACAAAAAGGACTTGATATGAATAAATTAGGGCTTACAAATCCTTAGAATACCCACTACATGAGTAGTAATGGGGCTGCTGAAAGTAAATTTGTAGGTTTGTTAACAACACACTCGAACTTTTTTCTGCTCACGATATCAAAGAAAATAAAGCTAAATGTTAGCTTTACTATAATTACATGTACATTTTATCCTTTCGACGAATTTTTCCTGGTCCCAAGTTATACTATTTCGACGTCAAATTTGCATCGTGTATCAATAACCCATATGCATATGTACCTTACATCCTTAGTAATTGCAATTCTATCTTTCTAATATGATTTGAATAAACACGTATATGTAAAAAGAGATCAACAAAGCCATCTATAAGCACAATTACCTCGTCCATTAAAATGAGAAGACCTCAACAAATCGGCGTCTACGGCTAATGCAAGCTCTGTGATATGAAACAATACATTCTAAACCTTTCAACTCCTCCAAACTTAGATAAAACAACGAAATACTATATACTTGTTGTGCTTATCGCTTTACTTGCCTTTCTCTGTCTTCATTCTACTTTTTCCTGGATTCTACGAGGCGTAGTAAGAAGTGACAATATCGTACTAGAGGCGCAAAAAACTATCGTAGGGATGGATTTGTATCGTCTTCTTATAGTCTCTAATTTGTGTACAAACATAGCAAGTAGTCGTCAGTTTTAATTGGTGATTATTAACAGTCAAAATTCTGTAAATACTGCATAAGTTTTTAGGGCATACAAACTCAGAAATATCAATCTAACGGTAATTTTTTGGAGTATCGTGCGAAAAAATGTACCATCAACTGCCCTATGAAGTACACTTGTATATATTTATACGACCGAAGAATAATGTAAAATTTATAGATATGTACCTTTTTAATTTTACGAAGAACGCGCCTGATGACGGGTATGATATGATATGTATTAATTTCTCGAGTAATTCTAAGCCTTTAGATATAAATTATACCTTAGAATTATGACTTACAGGCACTGAACGTCCTTAAGAATATTCATGTTGACAAACTCTTGTTTATGATCATACAATGTAAAGGTAACCATTATGTTTCCAAATTCATGTTTACTGACATCAATCCATCAGTTTATACATCTGTACCAACATTCTCTCTCTCTCTCTCCTCTCTCTCTCTCTCTCTCTCTCTCTCTCTCTCTCTCTCTCTCTCTCTCTCTCTCTCTCTCTCTCTCTCTCTCTCTCTCTCTCTCTCTCTCTCTTCTCTCTCTCTCTCTCTCTCTCTCTCCTCTCTCTCTCTCTCTCTCTCTCTCTCTCTCTCTTTTCCAAACGAGTTTTCTAGGCTTACCATTTTCTGTATTCTAAATATGCAAGGCGAAAGTGGACTGAAGTACCAATTCATATATATATATAAAACCTGCTTTAGGATGTCTGATGAATTTTTTTTTGTTGACAATTTTTGGACTTACATGGGTGTTCTTACGGATAACTAGCAGCAAAAATTTGACCGGGAGAATTGGTTATGCAAATATTAAGACATTAAAATCTGAGATAAAATGCCTCATCGTTAACCATAATCATTCAGAGACATTTTGCAAGAAACATTTGACTCCTGGAAAAACAAGCAGAATGTCAATAATACAAATTAACTGTTGTATCAACAGTTTTAGATTAAAAAACCAATTAGGCGACCAGATCGAACTGAGTATGTAGTTAGCTTCTACCACATGTTGATCCACTGAATGTTATCTGTAATCTATCACTGGAATATCGTATGGATGGTTGTGACGGGATTTGGAAAATCGAACAGTCATTAGCTGTTTAACGTTTTTTCTTAAGCCACGACCGGCATCTTCGGAAGCGTTTTCTTGGAGCCACTAACAAAAGGAAGTGGAGATGAATCACGATAATGGAAAACGGCGCGTGTACCCAAGTGATTCCTCTTCTTAGGCTGATCTAACGCCATTACCTGAAATCACAATTAAGACAATATAACTCACGTGGATGTGTGCAACATAACTCGCAAAAAAAGGAAGTGCAATTAGACGAAATTCTTAAATTCTGTAACTTATTTACTTTCCGTGACAAAAAAATCCTGGGTTTCAGAATTACTAATGTGATATTCAGAAGCGATATTCCAAGGTTGGTAAGCCCTCCGAGTCTCCGATTAAATTAAAAACAAACTATGGAAAAGATATAAAAGTTTATCTTAATTAATACTTATTTTACTTAAGTTACTCCTGTCTATGTATGTACACGGTCGTCACTTAAAATGGCCATGGAACGACATACCTTTCCTTAGTACTTTTCTCTTTGCCAGTTAAAACTTCACTCGCCATGAAATCTGAAGATATGTTTTAAGCTATCTATACTTTATGATCAACAAGGTACAGTACAATATTTTTAATTATTCCAATTGAGTGCTAAGAGCCATGCCGAAATCATGCTACATTATATATTGCTTATTACATGACCTGTGGTAGTGAAGCAAGACCCAAACGATTACCTATTCTGTACTGGTTATATAACATAATAAATATATATATATATTATATATAATGTGTGTGTATTATATATATGTGTGTGTGGTGTGTGTGTGTGTGTGTGTGTGTGTGTGTGTGTGTGTGTGTGTGTGTGTGTGTGCGCACACACACACACACACACACACACACACACACACACACACACACACACACACACACACATATATATATATATATATATATATATATATATATATATATATATGTACATATATAGATAGATAGATAGATAGATATGTGTGTGTGTGTATGTGTGCGTATTATATATATATATATATATATATATATATATATATATATATATATACATATATATATATATATATATACATTTATACAATATCTACATCTTTATCTATCTTATCTATCTATCTATACATATATGTGTGTGTGTGGCTGGTTTTATATATATGTGTGTATAGTGGTGTGTTGTGCACGTCTATATATACATGTATGTATATATACATACATTTATATACATATATATGCGTAAGTATATACATCATACTCTCCGTTTTAAGCATATTGTCAAAATTTTTCTTTCAA